CCTCCTTCCCAGGTGGGGCTATCGGGCGATCGGAAGTGCCCTCGCCTTCGCCGAAAGCTGACTGGCGCTGTGCCCCTGGGCTAGACAAGATATCCTCGCTTTCGCCGAGGGCCGACTGGGGGGGCCCCGAGATTGCCCCGCTACTTCCAGTCGCCTGCGTGGGCGGCCCCGGCGAAACCACCGCGCGGATCTTGGTGATGTCGTCCATGGGCGCGCTGAGCGAGAGATCGCGCTCCTGGTCACTGGCGGGGCCCACCGCGTCGTGCACTGTCTGCATCTCGCCCCGCCCCCCCCCTCTTCCTGGTGCGTTGTCCCACGTATAGGTTGTAAGTATCATCAAACTGTCGTGGACGCGAGGCAACCCCATCTGCGCGCCCCGCGCAGTCAGTGCATGTAGCCAGGCGCCTGCACATGCCATGCTCGCGGACGTGTAGTGCAGCGCCTTGATTGCGAATGGTAGCCCCTCCTCTTCCGACGCGGCGAAGACTGATGCCGGCAGGAGGTTGCGTTTCGTGCTCGCGAAGGCATTGGTGCAGTCGTAAGTGCTGGCAATGATGCTCACCCATGCCTGTCTTGCTTTCAATTGCGCAGCTTCGACGCAGGCCACCGCGCTCTCCCTCGATCGATGCCTAAGCCCCCCCCCCTGTGCCCAGCACGAGTGCTCTAGTGTTTTTCCTATGTAATGGATCCCTTTTGTGAAACGCCATTCCCAAGCGCCATTCCCACTGAGAAATGCGCGCGCGTCAAAACTTCTTTTTCTTTGACTGCCCTTCGCTGCAGAATAAGAAATAGACATGTGCAAATCCAACGGCGTAGCTTGAGAAACACTTAAGAAGCCTGTCATCCTGCATGTTCCTGCACCCCATACTCGCGCTTGCCCCCAACGCCGGCGATCCCTGCCCAGCTTCCTTGCCCCCCCCCCCAGGCGGTGCGCTGTTTACTCCTGTCGCCCGCGGCGCTTCTCGGCCATCGCCTCTATCTGCCCCCGCGATATCCAGCCAATTTTCTGCAACATCGGTCTGCCCACCCTGCACTTGTAAAGTGAGCTGTGCTTATCCAATTCCCCCTCGCCCCCTCGCTTCTCCGCTGCCCGCGTCTTCTGATCCTCCAGCTTCTTGCCCGACTTGCCCGGGGCCCTCCAGGTCGACCGCGGGTTCCAGACTCACCCATGCCAATTCCAATGGCACTACGAGCGGGATGGAAGCCCTCTCTGCGCCGCTTTCCTGCAGTACTTCAGCATATTCCGTTTGCCTTTTCTCCACTTGGGTTCTCAGACCCATATCCATTCGGAGCGGCACTTTTCTGCGAACATCTCGTCGCGCCCCATCTCGTGCCCATCGAAGTTCATCGGCTCCGCTGCCAGCCCCCCCCATCGTGGGGGGACTTTCCCAATTATTTCAGCCATTCCTCTGGGCCCCGCCATGTTCGAGCTGAGATATCGCACCTCTTCTTTGGTCCTCTCCAATTTCTCTGATATGCGGCCCTGAGCCCGTGCATATCGCTGAAGCTGTTGTTCTCGCATGCCCCCCATAGTTCTTCAGACAGCCCCTTTTTGCTTGCAGCTTCCAGGTCTGTCCTGCGTCTGCGTGGCACATTTGGTATCTGCGCCAGCTCCTTCTTGGCGCCCTCCAACCTTTCCTGCGTGTCCGACTATTCATGCCCACTCTGAACTTCAAACTTTTTGCCAGTGGGGAATGTCCCAGTAACTGGAAGGCAGCTACCCCCTTGTCAACCTGCTTCTTCTCGATTTGGGATACGTCTTCCATGGCATGTCTGCCCGCTTCGCTCCATGTCTCCCACGTATGGTCCGCTGCGGGGCGCTCCTGGAGCTCTCTCCATTCTTCCTCTGCCGTCCGCTCTCCAGGGGTTGCACTCCGAAAAAACCTCGCTATGGCTCGGGGCTCGGCAGTCTTCTCCTGGGTTGCACCTCGAGATGACCCGGCTAATGCATCTCCTAGGAGTTCGGGTGAATCCGCCTGGGTCGCACTCCGAAGTGCACTCGCTAATGCTCCTCCTGGCTGTTGCGGCAGAAGCGGCCTGCAAGTGGCGGTCGAACGCGCTCAAGAGTTCCGCTCTCGGGTGCCCCTTCCTCAGGCAATCCATCAGCACGTTGCGGCCCTCCTCCTTGTCTGCTCTCTGCTGTCTGTGCTTGCGCGAGAGATGAAATTGATGTTCCAGTCCAATATCCATGCCCGAAGGGATGTGGTCTCTGTGTCCCATCGCTTTGATATTCTACGTTTGCTTCGCCACCCCTCTCAACGCAACGCACCTCCGCACATGTAGTAATGCCCCCGTCGGTATCGTTATGTGGTCAACCTTGTTCGTCCTGATCTTCTCGTTTTCCACGCAGTAATAAGTCGGCCCACAACCGAAGAAAGTCATGACGAGTTGTGGACACGAAGCTCCCTGAGCGCGGTGCCGTTGTCGTTCTCTACCTCTTTGGCTACTGGTCCCAATGCTGCTGTATGTTTGCCCGAACTACGTTCGCTCAACACCAGATTCCTGCTATCTGACCTGAGCGTTCCCAATTGGCCGTTGATGCCCCCTCTCACTATGATAGTAGATCTGCCGCCCGTGTCATCACACTGTTCTTCCGCCCACTTCATATTTTTGAAATCAACCCATTGTCTGCGCACCCTCTCTCAGGCGGCAAGTAAGGCGCGAAGACCGTGACGTCGTAAGCTCCCGTGCGCAGTTTACCCCCTGCTGCTCTTCCCTGCAGTTGTGCAGGTGGTGTGTGTTGCGTGTGGAAGGCCTTGTGTTTCATCATTTCGTTGGGCACCAGGAGCGTAGTGCCGCATGGTTTGGTGATCCATGTTCCCTTCTTTGCCCCGATCTGCGGTGCCACATGATATCTATGAGTCGTCACCCGTATCTGCTCTGGCCCTGCCCACTGATCTGTCGGCACAATCACACCCCACTCTCGCAGTACCCTGATAATCTCTTCCTGTCTATCCGTGGTGTTCGTTGCCAACGGGCTGTAGAATACCAGTTTCATCAATGCACGTATCGAAAACACAGCGACCGCCATTTATCTGCCATGCCTCCCTGGCTCCCTCTCTGGCCCGTGCGAGTGCGGGGCGGTAGTCGTGTGCGAGACTTTCAAGGGAAGAGAATCGCAAAGGAGGCGTTCCACTGCACCTCAGACTTCAGGTCTCATCAGACCTCCTCCTCGTCCTCCTCCTCACCTCCTCTTCTTCCTCTTCATCTCCTCGACCCCCGTGGCCTTGGGAGGTCCCACCCCGTTCCCCAAGTATGTCTTCGGCCCGGGTCGCTGCTTGGCGGCCTCTGGGGCCCAGCCAGGTGCCGTTCAAAGCTTTGGTAAAACAGCGGGTCTCGTTTTTCCAGAGGAGGTCGGATGTCAGGGATGAGGGCCCTCCTCCTCCCCCTCCGCCTCCTCCACCTCCTCCTCTTGTCCTCCTCCTCCAAATCAGCCCCAACACAACATGTCAGTATGGCGAGAGGAGGGAGAGCGAGAGGGGAGTCGCGCGCGTTCAGAACCGCCCCCCCCTTTCCCCCCGTCGCCACCAGACCCGCCAGGGCAACGAGGAGGAAACAGCGGCAGAAGGGGGATGAGGAGGAGAGCGACTTCCGGGTCGGGCGAAAGGGGGGATAGCAAAAGGGGGGCCTGAGGATCAGCTCACGCAGCTGATTTTCCTGATACCTCCCAAAGCCGGAGGCGGCTATGTATCGAGGAATAGGCCCCTCGGCGAGGCAGAAACCAGCTGCATGCAGCACATTTCGTACACGGCTCTGGCGGCCCCCACCCCCTGCTGACTGGACACACAACACGACGCTGGGCGATTGGACTTGCCGGGAACCTTTTTCGTCCCGAGTCGTTTTGACTGTCCCCGTTTCCGGTATGCGGGCCGCTCGGGGGCCGCAAGTGGCCACGAGCCCCGCTTCGCGATTCTCGTGGATGCGTGCTCCAAAGGCATTCGACGACGTGATCTTTCGACGCGCGGCCCTGGATGGAAGCCGCTTCCCCCGCGGTCGTCTCTCGTCCAGGATCCATGTCTGATGGTCCCGGGGCCGGGTCACTCGCCCCAGAGGCCAAAATCTATGGAAAAGACGCCAGCACTGCAAATGCTGAGATACGGCATAGCGCGAAAGCTGAAACCTCGTGATCGACCGCATGTTTCGGCGGCATTTCTCGGCCCAGAAGGATCTGGGATGGTCCCTAGGCCCAGAAACAGGCGATGAGGCCCGAACCTCAGGGTCGGCCTGGGGCTCCCATGCGTGGGGTCACAGGACGGCCACAGCACGAGCACAGGCTCACGTCGGCCGAGGTACGACTAGAGAGCAGAGGGGCGACCCTCGAGAAGGAGCACGCTGGCAAGCGAAGCCGTGCCGTTAACGCACCCAAGGAAGAAGTCGAACAGGGCAGGGCTGCTCAGTAAAACCGCCCAGGGCAGATTGTGGTAAACGCTCATGATGGGGGCACGGGGCTCGCGGCAGGAGAGCCCAGAATCGAATCGATAAAGCGGATGGGCGATCGAAATGACTCGGATCGGCGGAAATCGGCAGCCGAGCCTGGAAAAGTCGAATCGGCGGAAATCGGCAGGCTAGTAGGCCTCCATTGAGAAATCGGAGCCCAAATCGGAATCCACAGCCGAATCAAATCGGAACCAGAAGCCATCGACATCGAATCGAATCGAACCGAAAGAGTCGACACGCGCCCTGTCGGGGTGGTTTGGATCCCCTGGAGCGAAAATGGAACGAAGTCCCGACCCCTTTCCCGGGCCCGGTTTTTATTCGTCCTGAATCGTTTGCTGACGCTCCCGAGGCCCAGCGAGGGCCCCCCGAGGCCGAACATGGCCAAGAACCTCCCGTCCTGATTTGTTGCTCGACGCGATCATGTCTGGGCGTGCACGGTTTCCCCTGGGGCCGTAGGCGACGAGGTGGAGGGGGGGGAGGGGGAGAAGGAGATGGAGGAGGAGGAGGAGGAGGAGGAGGAGGAAAGAGGAGGAGGAGGAGGAGAAGGAGGAGGAGGAGAAGGAGGAGGAGGAAGGAGGAGGAGGAGGAGGGGGAGGGAGGAGGAAAGAGGAGGAGGAGGGGGGTCTGGGTCCGACCCGCGGACATGTTCACGACGCGATCACGTCAGTGCTTGCACCCCTCGGAGCGACAGCCGGCGGCGGGCGCGCATGGCGGCGGGGCGGGCCCTGGGTAGGAGGGGGCCTCAGCCGTCGGGGCTCCCGGCGGCCTGGCGGCGGATGAGGGGCCCGCTGCCTCGCCTTTTCCCGCCGAAAGCGTCGCTGCCGCCTGCTTCCTCTCCTCCCTCGTCGCGACCCGCTCCTCCCTGTCCCCTTCTCCCCACTCCTCCCCCCCCCCAGACATGTTTTTTTTATCCCCCCCAAACATGATCGCGTCGTGCAAAAGTCAAGGTTTTGGGCCGATTTCGGCCTCGGGGGGGCCCTCGCCGAGCCTCGGGACCGTCCCAAAACGACGCATGAGGAAAAAGCCGCCCCGGGGAAAGGGTGGGGGCTTCCAGGGAGACCCCGCATTGGAAAAATCAAGACGTTTCCTGTCTGGGCCTCCTCCCGTGGAAACGATGCGATCTAACTGAGATCGGGATGGGAGACGCGTTCTAGATATCTCCCGCCGTCGTGTTTGCCCCGGGGTCCGAGGCCCGTTTCTCTGGGAGCCCCTTCCCAGCATTCTGCAGAGGTCGGGCGGCATCCAAGACCCCATCCTCGGGAGCGGGTTCTCGCCGGGGGCTGATTCCCGGTGGCCCCCCTTCCAGAGAACTGGCCTCCGTGCAGAGGCCCAGAAAACCCTAGCCGACACGACTTGCCGGGGAAGTCCCTGTTGGTGAAGGTCCTCTCGGGTGCCTCCAGCCCCCACCCCCCCCAAGGGAGGCCAGAGCTGAACATCTGAAAGCCGCTCCCCCAAAGAAAGAATGCTCATGATAGGACAAGGAAGAAGCATCAGGAGAGAGAAGGAAACCTCGCCTTCTTTCATGGAGGGTGGGGGGTGGGAACGGAGGAGCAGAAAGAGAAGCAGAGACAGGAGGAGGAGCAGGAGGAGGACCAGGAGGAGGACCAGGAGGAGGAAGAGGAGGGGGAGGAGCAGGAGGGGCAGGAGAAGGAGGAGCAGGAGAAGGATCAGCAGGAGGAGCATAAGGAGGAGCAGGAGGAGGCTCAGGAGGAGGATCAGGAGAAGGATCAGCAGGAAAAGCAGAAGGAGGGGCAGGAGGAGGAGGAGCAGGAGGAGCAGCAGGAGGAGCAGGGAGAGGAGAAGAGTGAGGGGCAAGAGGAGAAGCAGGAGAAGCAGGAGAAGGAGGAGGAGGAGGAGGAGGAGGAGGAGGAGGGAGGCGAGGCAGAAGGGGAAGGAGGTGAGGACCCCGGACCTCCGACGAATGCGATTCTTCCAGTGCCTGCGCGGCCACGGGAGGTCCCGACCGATCGGGAACTTCATCGCGCGTGTGTGTTTTTGTGGCAGGAGGGAGGAGGGAGGAGGGAGGAGGGAGGAGGGAGGGAGGGAGGGAGGGAGGGAGGGAGGAGGGAGGAGGGAGGGAGGGAGGGGGGAGGGAGAATGGGAGGGAGGGAGGGACCCGGGGCTCGACGACGGGCCCCCGAGGCCGACATCCAGCGGTCGGCCTCGACGGAATGCGCCCTCCGCACGTCGAGCCTTGCAAAAACCCCCCCGCCGTCGGAGGCCGGACCTGGGCAATGTGTTTTGTGGTCCCGGGGCCCGAGGACAGGGCCCCAGAGGCCAGGATCTAGGACCCAGGAGCAGTGCCCAATGCAGATCTAGGATCCAGGAAGATCCTGGATCCAGGATCTAGGATCTAGGATCCAGAATCCAGGAAGATCCTGGAGAACACGGTGTCTCGCCTCCAGAATCCGGAGGCGAGACACCGTGTTCTCCATGCAGCGACCACGACGGAGGCGCCCTCGACACAACGAGGATTGAAAATCCCCCCCCCCCAAGATAGGGTTCCGCCTGGGACGCGTGTCTGTTTTTTGCGGCCCCGGGGCCGAGGAAGAGCCCCTAGGGCCGAAATCTGGGATTGGGTCAGGCATGTACTCGTACAGGCTAATGTCGGTAGAATGAAACACAATCAACACATAGTCATACATAGGCCACAAAACACTACACATCGCCACCTGACTATCTTTTTGATACTCTTGCAGATTCCTCGTGTAGAGGGACATGCCCGATTTAAATCTAAGGGAAAAGGACACACGTTTTCTCAACACAGAGATCCTGATGGAGACGATCTTAACACATCAATAATTATTAAAAAAACACGCCGTCGGAGATCGGGAGCAGCGAAAACGCACTTGTACTTACAACAGAAGGATACGACTGCGACTGCGACGTAGGCGCAGATAGGCTCGAGATGCGACTGCGACGTAGGCATAAGGTGCCCAACGCGTTGCCCGATGCGACGGCGGCTATCGACATGGTTGGCGGTTTGCGAGCCTGGAAAAACCTTATTGCATGGAATGGCGCTGCCCGAATCAGTTTCGCCAGTGCTCGGGGCGCCGCGCGCGCGAAGGCCAATGCAGAACGGTTACCTTTTGCGCGCGCGTGCCCAGATCTCCGAGAGCTGGGCATGGCCGGCGGGTGCCCGCTCCTCGTTCGCCCACGGCACACGGCGGGGCGCCCGCGAGCGCCATCGGCACGCTGCGGGATTTCCCCGCCACGCGGCGCCGTGAAAAAGATGCGACCTCGTAGGACGTCACGATCAAGAGGCCTGCAACCATCTTGCTACCACAGGGAACGCTGAATGAGGAACGAGGGGGCACCTCTAGCCACGTTAGGAACAAGGAACACACGCTTGTTCAATACAGCGATCTTGACGGAGACGCCTTCAGCACATCGAGGATTGAAAAACCCACGCCGTCGGAGAGCTGGGCATGGCCGGCGGGTGCCCGCTCCTCGTCCGCCCACGGCACACGGCGGGGCGCCCGCGAGCGCCATCGGCACGCTGCGGGATTTCCCCGCCACGCAGCGCACTGAAAAACCGTTGTGGTACCAGTAGGTCGGGCATGTCCTCCTACAGGCGGATTTCAAACAAAAATGGAAATTGTCCAAACTTGCTCGCTGTAGGATAACAATAGCACGAGAAATCGTCACCAGACTATTTTTTGACTGTTCTTGAATGTTCTTCCTGTAGGGGAACGTGCCAGACTTCAACATGCTACACAGGGAGCGCTGGGGCACGCAGGGGCAGCTCTGACAGCGAAGACTCCCAGTCCCAGATCCGAGGAACGGCCCCAGGAAGCCGGGCCCCTCCCGAACCCCTACGTGGCCCTCATGCCAGCGCCTTGGCTGTAGGCACAATCTAGGCGTCGGGGCGATGCGTGAGGGTCGGGGAGCCCCGAAACCAGGCGAGAAAGAGCTAGGCCTAGGTCGGGCATGTCTCCCTACGGGCGGAATTTGGAGGAAACCTCTTTTTAGAAAACGAACATCTTCAAAACTGGTTAATAAATAATTCAAACATCGTTGCCATACTTGTTCTACTATGTTTGAATACTCCTCCATTAGAGGGGAATGCCCGACTTAAAGCCAGGTGTGACAAAAATGGAAGCCCTGGATCTCAGGACTCCTCGGGAGAGAACGCAGCACCCGCAGGACAATACTACTCATGATGAGGACCCTCTCATCCGACGCCCCATTTTTTGTTTTGTGGAACGGGCCTTCTGGGATCTCGAGATCTTCCATGGCAATGGCTTCTCATTTAGATATGCGTTTCAGTAAAATTCCCTCCAATAAGACGGAGACAGGACGAGGATATGGTGGGGTGAGGATGAATCGAGAATCTCTCAAATCTGGCGGCTCTGGAAATTGTATTGAGCGCCGCGGCCTTCTCAGATCGTTTCGGAACGCTCTGAGAGCGTTCTGGAAAGCTCTGGAACGGATTTATCCTCGCCCTAGCCCCGCTCGACCCAAGTCCCGCCCCTTTCTCCATGGCCATCTCCTCATCCTGAATACTTGTTTGACGGTACCAAGGCCCAGCCAGGACCCCCAGTGGCCGAAAACTGCGAAACCCCTCCGCCTTGATTTCTTTGCAGGGCGCCATGGCTATCTGGGGAGGCAGCAAGTGACTACTTACCAGACCACCCCAACCCAACCCGAAGACCCGAATTTCGGGTTGGGGGGGGGGTATGGGCTCCGTGTGTGTGTGTGTGTGTGTGTGTGTGTGTGTCTGTGTCTGTGTCTGTGTCTGTGTCTGTGTCTGTGTCTGTGTCTGTGTCTGTGTGTGTGTGTGTTTTCGATGTTCCCCGACCCCACCCCACTGGAAATGGAGGGCAGATTGAGGCCTTCGGGTTGGGTTGGGGTGATTTGGTGGGTGGTGAGCAAGGAAAACGGACAGACTTCAAGACCAAAACGAGCCGCCGCCCAAGCATGTGGGTGGGCGCCAAAGGTGCCCCTGGCCCAGGGTGCCCCCAGCGCTTCGCTCCCCGCTGGAGCCCCTCGGGCCCGCTGGGCCCCGTGCGGGGTGCTCTGGAGGCCGGGGGGGCCCCCCCGAGAATCCGGGTGGCACCTTGGGGCAGGGGCACTGTAATGCGGGATGACGATTAATACAAACAATGGGAGAGAACGACTAAAAAAAACATAGTTTTCTGCTATTTCTGCATAATTTTCTGACTGGAGGAGATAGATTAAAAAAATAGTTGTCCACCCCGCGGCCGGTTTTTTCTAATCGTCATCCCGGGCGCCGCCGCGTGAACACGACCCCCGGTCATTTATTAATCGTCATCCTCCATTACTAGAAACACCCGAACATGAGTCGGCGGCGAGCGAGGGGGAACGGAAAAGGAGAAGGCCTTCTCAGAAGGTTCGGGAAGCCCCCCTGGCCTTCCGAGAAGTCTCCCGGGCCTGCCCCGAAGACGACCAACAAAAACCTGTCATCAGGCGCGCGAGGGCCTCCGAGGAGTCCCGCCGCCTTCTGAGACTGCCTCCTCCTTCCCACTTGCCCCCCTCCCCTCGCTAGCCGCGGCATGCAGGGGAGAAGGCCCCGCCTCGCCCGCGACCGCAGCGGTGGCGAGGTGGCGCGTGCCCCGCACGAAGTCCGCCAGCGCCGCCGAGCTCGAGCGCACGGACCTCGCCGCCCCAGCCCCCGTGGCTGCTGGCCGGGCCGCGCCCAGGTCGCGATCGAATCGCACCACACGGGCCCAGACCTCCTCCTCCTCCCTCCTCCACCCTCCTCCTCCTTCTCCTCCTCCTCCTCCTCCTCATCCTCCTCCTCATTCCCCTCCTCCTACCCCTCCTCCTTCCCCTCCTCCTATTCCTCCTCATCCTCCTACTTCTCCTCCTCCTCCTCCTCCTCCTCCTCCTCTTCCTCCTCCTCCTCCTCCTTCCTCTCCTCCTTCCCCTCCTCCTCCTCCGCCTCGGGGCCGTGAATAATCACGACGGAAGGTCGTTGCCCAGTCTCGCTCGCCGTCGGCCGCGAACACAAACGACTCTCGAAGGGGAGGCCAGTCCCTCTCCTCCCAAATCTGGTCCGAGCAGATGGGGGGTCGGAGAATCGCGATCCACATCGAGCCCATCCGCAGATACATTGGCGATGCAGCGCGATCCTCCGACCCTATCTACTCGGACCTCATCCAGGAGGGAGGCTGACGCCATGTAGTGAAGAGATCCAAGTCTCCATGGGCCCGTATTGCAAAAACGAGAAACGACGACGTCGGATGTCTTCGGAGATCCGGGCGTCTACATTTTCCCTGACGCCCCGCCATCGTCGCCTGGCGTCGCTTCCCGGGGCCCTCACGGAATCGATCGGGCTCGAGGAATCGCGCAGAGAAGTGTGGCCTAGCGCTTCGGTCGCGATACTCTACGGTGAGGAGCTTTGGCTGAGCTTGTCGCCGCGGCGGCCCCGGCGAGACGCAATGCCCTGCAAGCGGATGGCGCGTCTCTCAACTCCGCGGGGCGGGAGGTTCGGAAGGTCAAAGCCTGGGGGCCTGGAAGTGGATAGCGTGTCGCGCCCGCAACTCGATGGGCCAGAACCGGCGGAGCGACACGCTAACCAAATGTTCGAGTAGGGGGGTCGACAACATAAGTGACTCACCCCAGAATTATTGTTGCCCTAGGAACCCCGAAAATGCATAGCATGCTCTGTCGACGTACTGAACATTAGACGCAGTCTCCGTAGACTAGACGGAAAAACTTGGGTAAATGAACTCTGTGGTCGATCCCCTACTCGACAATCGGCGGCGAGCCTGGGTGGGAAAAAGAAGGGGCGGACATTGTCAGAAGGATCGGAAGTCCTTCGGCCTCCTGAGAATTTTCTCTGCCTTCCCTGAAGACACAGGAAACCGTGTAGAATGTGCGAGGGCTTCTGAGAAGCCCCGCCGCCTTTTGAGAAGGCCTTCTCCTTCTTACTTCCCCCCTCGCTCGCCGCCGAATTCTGTAATCGATCCGATACTCGAGAAGTTCCCGCCCGTATGCGATGTTGCATTATTTTCGCGACGTCGGATCTCGCGGTCCCCGGGCCTCCAGGCGCCGCGGAACAATTTCAGAACTGGCATCGCTCGCTGCGCTGCTGTTGGGCCTCCAGGGGCTCGTCTCGCGCTGCCGGGCCTTCAGACAACAGCCCGCGACGACCACGAGGAGCAGCAGGTTTCCAGACATCCCACAATCTGTTGGTTCCAATCGGCGACGCCTGAGTTCCCGACCATTTCCACAGGGTTGTTTTTCCTCCTGGGCTGCGGTGAGGGTATTGGAGAAGGAATGATTGGATAAGGAATCCATGGAAGATCAAATGGAGGCTTGGCCATGGATACCACCGCCGCCCTCGTCAGAGAATGAATCCTGCAGAGGGTGAGGCCTCCTGGGCACGCTCCGTAACCAACGCCGCCGCCAAAAGGTCTCATGGTCCTGGGGGCCGGGGAGCGCACACCTGGCAGGCCGAGGTTTCCAAAGCGCAGCTGTGGGGAGAGGCAATCCTTCCGAGGCCCGTGGCAGAGAGCAGCGGTGCCCGCGCCCGGTACCCGTCGGCGGCGAGGGGGGGAAGGGAGAGGAAGAAAACCTTTTCAGAAGGCTGCGGGACTTCTCAGAAGCCCTCGGGCCATCTGAGAAGTCTCCTGCGTCTTCGGGAGAGCCTTATGAAACTTCTCAGAAGGGCGGGGGGCTTCTGGGTCTTCTCTCCTTCTCACTGAACCTAACAGCGTCGACGCTGGAAATATGGGTGTGATCGCGCTGTCAACCGCAGCGCTCACCACGGATCGCGTTATTGGTGGTCGCCAGGCGTGCGATCAAAAGCCACCGGGGCATGGACATGGGCACCTCCTTGAACTTCTGGAGCGTCCACTTCCAGTTGTCCCCCTGCCGGCAGAATGGAGGAGGCCATGACCGTGCGGGAAGGCTGGCGGGGAGGAGGGGAGGAGGACCTATACTTCCGAGATCGTTGCTTCTTCAACCACGTCGGAACTCGGAGCTTTCGGCCCCAACTTTCCGCGGATTCAGCGCCGTGGATTGAGCGCGCAACCCGAGCCCCGATCCCCCCAGAGCCGAAAACGTCTTGTGTGTATGTCCTGGGCACGAGGCCC